TGATTTTGGGGATGAATGTAACAATTGGCTTTCCAACTTGGTATGTTTCTTTATTCTCATTGATTGTCAAGAATTCTTGGAAAGACATTAGAATGTGGAGAAAATTGTGAAAATGGCTTACCTCGGAAACGTGTTCGAATCTGTGCAGTGTGCAAACTCTGGTCCTTCCAACGGCAAAAGAAAACCAAAATGGCGGCACCCATATTTTATGCCGGGCGGTCTCAGTTAGTTACGCGAAATCGAAATCTTCATTATGCAAATCGTGGTCGGTCCTGGTTGTATAAAAAGGCTCATTTTGCTGTTTGGATCAGAGAGCTTTTCGGCTCGTGAGAAATTTGGACGTGTGACACCGTTTTTCTTTGTTCCTACCTGCTATCATCAGTTGAGTTGTTGCATTACCTACCACAAGCTATTTTGGCAATGGACAAGTTCGATCTAAAATTGATCCCAGAATTCAACGGCTCCCCACGGGCCTGACTATCGTCGAATGGTTTGAAAAGGCCGAACGTGTTTGCAGGGTGTCCAAAATAAAGAAACCTGCACTAGTCATCCCACTGAGACTCACGGGAGAAGCCTACACCATATATCAACAACTCTGGGACGATGCTGACCTAGAAGAGATCAAGGACGCCCTGTATAATGGCCTTTTAGAATAGACCCTTCATCGCTTGGAAACAGTTTGTCGGATTTACGGCTCGAGGCGGGTGAGACCGTGGATGTCTACCTGGCTGATTTGTGAAGGCTGGCAGTACCGTGTGGCAGAGCAACGGACCGCATACTGGGTGCGCCTTCCTGGCAGGACTTCCTGACGACATCAGTCGGCTCCCTGCGGCGTTTTCAAGATTGGACACACTGGGAATTGTTTAATTGCTAGCCAGGGCCCGAAACATCTTGAAGGACACGGAACAGGTCGCGGCAGCTGTGAGAACGCCTAAGACACCGTGGGAGGGCCCAAAAAGTGCTACAAGTGTGGTGGACCCAACCATTTCTCTAGGGACTGCCGGAGCCGGTGACGAGGAGGAGGGAGCAGCAGACGGAACCGAGCACGACTACGCTGCTATCGCTGCAAAGAGTTAGGCCATGTAGCACAGGATTGCTCGGGAAGCGAGTCCAGGGACAAGGTGCTGTGGCAACCCTTGCCCCCTCTCGGTCAGTAAATGCGGCATTGCCTGTTGTCAGCGATGTGCGTTGAGGGTAAACGATGTTCGGCGTTTCGTTGACACTGGATGTTCCCTATCGATCGTTAGTGCGGATCGATGCATGACATGGAGCAGTCAACAAATCGAGATTCGGACGATTGACGGAGTGTTCCGGGCCTGTTGTAGTGTCGGGACTGTATCAGTCCTCACAGACAGAGGGAATCATGCCAAGGTTGACGTTTTGGTGGCGCGTCAAAGACCCCTCGGTTACGACCTGCTGCTTGGGATTGATGCGATCCGGCGTTAGGAGGCATGATAATCACGCCAGCCGGAAATGTGGAATGGGTAAAGGAAGAAAGGTGTGTGCAGCCCTTTGCATTAGTGAGACGTTTTTTTCTTTCAATTCCGATGAGGGTGTGGACCGCCAGGTGGAAATGGGCCCAAAAGACCCACCAGTTCAGCCGCAACAAGGTTGCAGATGTACAAAGTTCCCGACAGCATCAGAGGAAAATACGAGAAAGAGCTTCAGCAGTGGATTGTGAAGGGCTGGTTGATTCCGTACCCCAGGAAAGAATGGGACCCCCAAAGGGTCTGATTCCCTTGATGGCAGTCGTGCGGAGCAGAAACAGAAGGTGCGTCTGGTACTCGATTATGTTCAATTGAACGACTTTGTGGATGCTTTTACTGCCGATGCAGAAGTGTGCACACATAAGTTGAGAACGTGGCGGCAGGGGGTCAATGTCGCTTCTGGATCTGTGGAACGATATCTTCAGATTCACATCGACGAAGCGCTGTGGCCATTTCAAACGGTTATTTTCAAAGGCCAACGCTTCTGTCTTGCGGGGCTAGGTTTTGGGCTAAATGTAGCGCCACTCATCATGAAATCCGTTATAGACGCCATCGCATCGCAAGACTGCACAATTGAAAGTGCCACATCAGCATACGTTGATGATATCTTCATTAATGAAAGTTTGGCCTCTGCATCACGTAAAAAAGACAACACTTTTTCGGATTATGGTTTGGTGTGCAAGGATCCGTGCGACTGAGAGATGGAGCAAGAGTTCTTGGCTTGCAGGTCTGGGAAGAAAATGGCACCCTCCAATGGAAACGAGGAAGTCAAATTCCGGAAGTCCCTGATGTGTTGACCCAGTGGCGCGTATTTTCATTGTGTGGGAAACTTGTTGGACATTTCCCAGTGTGTGGATGGCTCAGGGTGGCAGTTGCATTCGTCAAGCGCCTGGCAACCACAGCAACCAATGGATGGGATGGTAACATCAAAGATCCCTCTCTCTGTTGCATACTAGCAGAGATGTTAAGTAGAGTGCGGGAACTGGATCCCATTGGAGGAGACTGGTGCATGAGTGGTGACAAGATCACAGTCTGGGTGGATGCGAGTTCCGTGGCGACAGGAGTGGCATTGGAAGTAAACCGAAATGTCATCAAAGATGCGTGCTGGCTGCATCCGACTAATGATGCCAGGCATATTAATTTGGCTGAACTTCGATGTGGCGCTTAAAGGTGAATCTAGCTCTCCAGTGGGAGGCGACAACATTGCACTTGGTTACTGATTGGCGTGTGTGTGCACGGTGGATTTCAGACACCTTGACCGGGAAGGCACGGGTGAACACAAGGGCGGCTGGCGAGATGCTGGTTAGGCGGCGGCTGGGCATTTTTGCGATCGCTGGTGGAAGAATATGGATTGACCATAGACGTGACACTCGTACAGTCCTGTCAGAACCGTGCGGATCGCCTCACCAGAGTACTGCACAGGTGGCTAGAAATGCTCAAGAGAGGAGAACCGGCACTCGAGAGCTGGGTAGTGGTAGAGAGACGACTGGATGAGGACCAGGTTGCCAATACCCATCGTCAATGCGGACATCCGGGCGTGAAACCTAACTCTGTGCCGCCAGGTTAGTTGACCCGCAGGTGTCCAGAGAAAGCCTTAAATCCATTGTGAAGGCCTGCAGAACCTGTCAGTCGATCGATCCAGCCCCCGTTCACTGGGAAAGAGGAGAACTGGCGTGAAGATCAACTGGAGCAGACTGGCGATGGACATAACTCACTACAATGGTGAGAATTTTTAACAGCTTATTGATTGCGGTCCCTCCAGGTTTGTGGTATGGCGGCTGCTGCGCGCAGACAAGATGTAAGCACCGTCATTCGACTGTTGGAGAATGTTTTCCTGGAGCAAGGTCCACCCGTGGAAATACTGACGAACAACGATACTGCATTCACCAGTAAAGATTTTAAAGAATTTGCGGAAAATTGAGACGTGCATCTGCGGTTTTGATGTGCCTACTCGCCAAGTGGAAACGGCATCGTGGAGCAGAACCACAGAACCATCAAGACCATCGCAGCCAGGAAGGGCTGTACAGTATCGGAGGCAGTTTACTGGTATAATGTCGCCCCGAAAGATAACGTTTCACCATCCACGGTGCTGGCTGATGCACTGCACAAGTATCATGTCCGTGTGAAAGGCATCGAAGCCAACCCGCTGCCTGAACTAGAAGTGACTGGAGGGAGATTGAAAAAAGGAGACGTTGTTTGGGTCAAAAACCCATGCGGCAAGTGCACAACAAAATACGGCACTGGACGTGTTACGGAGGTGATCAGCCCGCAATCTGTGAGAGTTGATGGGGTGCCTCATCACATTAAAGACTTGCGACCGGTGATGCAATCACTACCGTTACTGAGCGATGAAAGCGATTCTGATTCTGAGAGTAGTGAGCGTTCGATCTGCTTGGAGTTAGACATGCAGGGTAGTGATTCTGATAACAGCAGCCTCCCGGCGGACACAGGGTTTACCGACACTCAAACCACAGACGAGAACACGCACGAGGATGAAGCTTGTTATCCCCTTCGGAGGGGGACTCGGCGGCGACGATTGCCACCTCCTTGCCCTGTTTGTGATCATGAGATCAGGGAGGTGGGGAAAATTGTGAAAATGGCTTACCTCGGAAACGCGTTTGAATCTGTGCAGTGTGCAAACTCCGGTCCTTCCAACGGCAAAAGAAACCAAAATGTCGGCGCCCATATTTTATGCCGGGCAGTCTCGGTTAGTTAACGCGAAATCTTGTTGTCTCGTCATTCGCATGCAAATCATGGTCGGTCCGCGGCTGTATAAAGCAGTCTCGTTTTGCTGTTTCGAATCAGAGAGCTTTCGGCTCATGAGAAGGTTAGACGTGCGACACCGGTTTCTTTGTTCCTACCTGCTGTCATCAGTTGATTTGTACGTTACCAACCACAGTTTCCTAATGCTTTCTCTACAGTTTTGAATTCAGAATTATCCTTCACTTAGACTGGCTTCATTCAAAGCTAGAGTGCTCAGTCTACCCTGCTATTTAACCCATAGCTTGATAGCAAAGAAATGAGTTCGTGCCTTTTTTTGGGATGTATGTAATCTTGGCGTCCCAACTAGTATATTTTCTTTATTCTCAATGATTGGTCAAGACTTCTTGGCAAAGACATTGGAATGGTTTCCTAATGCTTTCTCTATAGTTTTGAATTCAGAATTATCTTTCTCTTAGACTGGCTTCATACAAAGCTAGATTACTTGGTCTACCCTGCTTTTTAATCTATAGCTTGATAGAGAAGAAATGAGTTCATGACTTTCCCAAGGTTATTTGTGCAAAGTGAATGCAACAGACTAGTCTGAAACTTGAACTTATTTTCAATGCCAATAACTGTTACACCAGCTGCACATCTGATTAGTGACCTGAAATAAATCCAATTTTTATGACTTTTCATTATTTACATTTTTTCATCTAAGTGAATAATGCTTTAGCTTAGTAAAAGCTGTCTAATTAGGATATTCTCAGCAATTTGTATGTCTTGGTATATCTTCTGAAATTATCTTTGTAGTTTATCCTTCCATGCTAAAAGCAGCAACTGTTCCTCTGTTATCTCGCCGTATTTGTGAAATGGTCTACAAAGACATCACTCCAAGAATGTTTTGTGCTGGTTATCTTGAAGGAGGTATTGATACATGCCAAGGTGACAGTGGTGGACCCTTAGTCTGCAGCATTAACGGTAGGTTTTAATTTATACTTATTTGCATTTACTTAAATACCTACAAATATAATGTGTGTGCGTGTGTGTGTGTGTGTGTGTGTGTGTGTATAAACCCTATTCATTTTTTTGAAACACAGGTAGGTACTCCAAAAGATTATTTAGCTCATAAAATTTTTGAAAAAAACTAACTAATTTAGAACCTGTTCCCTCAAATCATAGCACACATTCAAATAAGTATTCTTTTTGTCATCTCTAAACAAACAAGGCACTAATTTTGTGGGAACTGGTTTTATTTTCAAACATTATCTAGTATAAAGACAAATTAGTTTCCTCAGATATCTCATTACGGTCCAGTAATAATGTTCATTGACTGTAAGGCAAAATTTTCCTAAATTTTTTGTCGTTTCATTTTGTTGAAGGTCAATTAGATTTAAGTGAATATATCACCAAGTCTGAATGGGAATACCACTCATACATGTGTGTTTTACTGGAGGCTTCTTTCTTCTCAAAGCATTAAAACTGTTTCAAGTTTTCCACAGAAGAAAATAAAACTTAGTACACGTGTGTTCATGTAATGAGCAAAATAAAAAAAACACAGGAAATAAATCAAATCAAAATTACACACTAGCTCTTCCATAGAGAACATGCTATATTTCTATTGTGCCATGTTCAACTTAAAACGAAATTGGTAACTGCTCCAATCTTCCCTTGCCTGGCTTTTCTACCACTTTCTCCTGCAGTTGTTGGATGAATTCTGGTGTACAGAGGCAATTAGAATGTTTGCTGTGTTCTTTCCTACAAGCCACAGTATCATAGTCTACATTGCAGCTCTCCATTTCATGTCTTATTGTTCTCACAGTGTTCAAAGACCATTGAGTAGCTGTCATGATTGTGACATTTTCATGCCTGGCATGAGTCAACATGAGGCAGATTACCCTTTTCTAATATTCAGGTAGCTTCTACTCATCCATGTCAGTTAACTAAAACTGTAGTAATTAGGTGTTACAATGCTGTTCACTGTTTACAGATATTACAAACTAATCAGAAAAAATAAAAACATTAGACTCTGTCAAATTAAGCCCCAAAACCCTGCATGTGTTTTAAAAACCCAGGTCCTTTCTCAATTTTCTTGAACTTTCTTACTTATCTTTTACTATCTCAACTTATAGTCATGTGAAAAATCAACTAATATTGTTTTTTTTTTAAATTGCTATATTTATGGGGAAAATTTCAGTTGCGTTCATGGGAGGCACAGATGGGAAAATTACTGCATACTTCAAAATTTTTATGCATTAGGATGTGCACCTATCAGAAACTCTGCAAGGGCATTTGTGTATAAGTCAATGTAACAAAGTAAACTGGAATTTGAACTTGGCTTTCTGATTTCTCATTCCAGGCTGCTATTCATTACAGTCAGTTATGTGCTATGCATGATACACACTTAGGTGATCATATATCTTTTGATACATGACTAACGAGGCAGATTTTTTTCCCACAGTAGGTTACCATTTCTTTCTGTAGTAGACCAGTTGCCATCCAAGGCTATAGAACCTGGTCTGTCCTGCTATTTACTCATAACGGGTGAGAAGAAGTGGATTCATACCTTTCACAAGGGTATTAGGATGTAAGCAAATGTAATGGATTCAACTGGAACTCAAACTTGGCTCTATATAGTACTATATTTAATATCTCTATCAGTCCAAACCTGAGCTTACAGATCCTTAAAATTAGATTTTGGAATGTGTATTGTGATCTTAACATCTAAAGAAAAAAGATTATTCAAAGCACTTCCAAGATGCATGAATTTGTCTGCAACTTTCAGCCTAATGTTGTCTTGGAAGATCTTTGACTCATGATACAATATTAGTTAAAGCTAGATGATACATCATCACAGTTTATCCAAGCTTATCTGAAGCCAAAAAGCTTCGCAAGATTCATTAATCTTGATTATGAAGTGTTGCATATCACTGATTGTGTGGATGTCCAAATCACCATCATCAGCATAGAGGGGATCTTTTATCAGAGTAGTGAAAATCTTTGTTTTGGTAGCAAATCTTCTGAGGTTAAATAATTTAATTATTGTTCTATATTACATATTCAAATTGTGGCTGCAATCCAAATTCTAAGGCATCAGAGAAGTATATAGAAAACAATACTGGCTCAAGATTATCAGCCAACATGCAGGACAAATATATCAAGAAATCAAAAGAAAATTGTTGAATCAATCTCAACAATATTTCTACATATGAAAAATGCTATTCAAACATAAAAAGTAAATGATGTAATTTTTCAGTTGACTCAATGAATATCAGCATTTCTAAGTTCTAGTAACTAACAATGTTTTGTTTTTTGTTTATAGATACTTTGTTCAAATAAATTTTGCTTTTTGCCTTGAAAAACCCACAGTATATGAAATGTGTCAGCTAAGACTACATACAATTTTCCTATTGTCTTTTTTCCTCTATACATATTGTTCTTTTTCTACTGATTAATTATGACAATTTTTTACATGAAACATTGTTTAAATTGTGTACTTTGATATAAATAGGTTTAACTTTGTACACAGTTGAAAAAGGTAAAAAAAAACATTTTTTTTTTCAATTCTGTGTCATCTTAGACAGCTCCATATGTGCCAGTTTGTGCTGATTCTAGCAGTGAAGTCCACTAAAAGAATGATTTTGTCAGAATTTGGATTCCTACAAAGAATTTCTCTTACTTCTCCATAAAAGCAAGTTTTGCAACTTCACTACTATCAAGATTGGGTGAATATCCACTGATCAGAGTGGCAAAGTAATCTCTGTTTAATCGAAAAGTTATGAATCTTTCATTAACAACTTGTGGCAATTTTTGACACCCAGGCATTTTTGATGCCAAATACTATACCCACTTCTATTCTTTGTTCTTCTGGTTTTCCTTTCCATAAGCTCGTGTTTCCTCCTATTTTCTTGATTTGACCATCTCCCAGCACACGAGTTTCTGATAGGGCAGCAATGTCTACTGAATATCTTTCTAATTGTTTGGTAACTATAACTATTTTATGCTTTGTTGCAAATCCCTATATCATCAATTAGAGTTCATACGTTCCAAGAAATATTCAGTATTAAAATTTCTGTTTACCACATTGTTTGGAGCAATAATGGACTACTGCCAGTCATGTAAAACTGACCAGATTGGTTTGAAATGCACAGTTTTTAGGTTACCTTTTCTAAACCATTACAAAATGTCAGTGAGATGTGCTAATGTAAAAAGATCTGCTCAGATGGAGCAACTGAATCATATTACCTCCTTTGAGGAAGAAACACCAGATACTTCCAACTGGTCGGCTGTCTACATCACTTACCCTTCACCACCAGATTTATCATTGATACACAAACAACATGATAATTAGAAAACATTGAATTTGCACAGCTTTAAAATACTTGTGCAAAAATTAAATTTTGCACAACATTACGAAGATTCTCCCTAACAAAGCCAGATAATCCCAAAGCAAGATGCTAGAGGGTGCTACATTAGAGTTACCTTCAAGGAAAACCTACAAAACAGTAGGGGTTTGAATTCAGTTTTCCTTCTCCTTGATAGATTGCCTTCACTGCAACTGAAGAAGCTTCATCTACTCTCTCTTTCTCACTCATATATATATATATATTTATTGAACAATTTAGTTCATGCCACATCGGCTGAAAAACTCCTACAACAAAAAAAAGTTCTCAAATTACCATATTAGTAAAAAATGTTCTCTTAAATTTTCAAAAAATTCAACCTTAGCGTTGTGACTGCACGCTCCAAAATTTCTTATCCATTAATAACACATTTCTAAAAAAACATATTTCGATTAACATTTAATCTTTCGTATCCTGCTACTACCTGGATTTACTAAAAAAACAAATTAATTTCCATGCCTGAGGAGAGCTCTAAGAACAGCTGAAAGTACTAGCAAAATAAAAAAAGACCTTATACAACTTGAAGTTATTAAAAACAAGGATCATAACATTCATCGAGAGGTTCGTGGGTTAATGTAACTTTAATGAATTTGTTTGTGAATATGTTTTTCACTATTTATATCCTTAACTTTAATAATCTACTTTTTGTATGAATGATTCATGTAAAATAAATTGAACTGCACCACATATTTGATATATATATATATATATATATATATAAAATCTCATTCTGTAGCGGAAGGTGTGTGCACATGTTTGTATGCGTGTTTTCCATTTTAAAGAAGTAACTTCTTGAGGGAAATTCTTGAAAATTGCTGATAACTGTTTTTTTTTTTGAACACTTAAACATTCTTTTAAAAATTATGCTATTTATAATTTTAAAGAATATTATTTTTCTTTCCTATTAAAATCTGTGAATTCTTTTGGGTTCTTTTCATAAATTGTAAAGATGCAGAATAGAAATTCTATGCTTCCTCGTATTCATATAAAAAGCCAATATTTAAAACTGTAAAGAATAGGATTTTTTTTTCTCTATAATTAAAATCTGTGAATTCTTTTCTGTTCTATTTATAAATTGCAAAGATGCACCATGAAATTTCCATCAGTTTTATTTGGTATGAATATTTCATTGAATTAAATGGCAAACATTTTCTGAAATGATTTCATTTCTATAGACAATTATTTGCAATGCTTTTGTCCAGTAAATTTTTTATAATGAATTTTTATAAATATTTGCAATAATGTTTTAGTCAAAATCTATTGTCATAAATTTCCATAGCAAAATCATTAGACATACATTTTAATGAAAGCCCAATTTGCCATATAAAAATCTACTAAATTACCAAATGGCCACCAACAATAATTTTCAAAACTGAATTTGTTCTTATTTTTCAGGGGTGCACACATTGATTGGAATAACCTCTTGGGGTAATGGTTGTGCAAAGCCCAACTACCCTGGAGTCTATGCAAATGTAGCATATCTGAAGCCCTGGATAACAGCAACAATAGCTAAATATTCATGATTCTTTCCCAATCAGAAGATGTCAAATTAATCAGTAAATGCTTTTCTCATTACGAATAAATTTTAAATTTTTTTCAATTTTGTTTTTCTTATTTTTGTTTATTTATTTTTGTTTTGTATTTCTTTGATTTAATTTTTTCATTTTCTTGAATTTTCATAAGGTGCATTCTGTCTCTTATGCATCAATATGCACATCCTCACACATACACACTCACACACACACACACATATATATATATATTAAAGTAATGAAGGGTTTGGTAATCCGTGTGGATAATTTCAAAGAGGATGTGATCCGGAGAGCTCAATGTAAAAGCAGAACAAATATTAATTAAATAATTAAAAAATAGGCAACCTTAAGTTTCCATGACTATAATTTATTTCCCTAGAAAATATATTTTTCCTGGTTCATCAGGTCACATCTCTAGTTTAACTAGAGATATGACCTATATATATATATATATATATATATATATATATATATATATATATGAATCAATAAATTTGCATCCTGCATATTAGCTGGAATTTTTTATTTTATTGTTGAATTTAGTGCATTGTAAAGAAAAATAACTGTTCATGAGAATAAGATTTTTCATGATCTGCCAACAGACATACTGATGTACATGTGTGTTTGTGTTTATATATAATCAAAATATTAAACATGACAACAGCGTACATGAATGAAAGAATTCACATATATGTATACAAATACAGACACACTGTGTGTGTGTGTGCATGTTTAAGTGAATATATTTGTCTACAGTAAAAAATAATGTTTGATTATAAAAAAGCAGGATCAATTAATTACTTATATATAATGTAATAAGTGCACAATAAAAAGCTAATGTAATCAAAATATAGTGCTGAAAATATGATATAATAAACTTTTGTGCATATGTATCCGACTGGTACTAAGAGTTTCATGCAATTTTTGTAATCCTCAGTCAAAAGGAACCATATGCAAATCATACATATATAGGGTTCTTTCTTTCCACTTCTGTCTTTTTTATATATAGTATGGCCATAGAAAACAACATTGCATGGAGACTGTCAGTTTCATGCTTTAAGTGATTTTTCAGATGGTCCACAGTGTTTATATCTACAAACACTCTATACCTAATATTCAGTACATTTCTGCCATAAATATCAACATTTCTAATCATTAATGCATATATAGCCATGTTTTTTTGTTGAAGAAGGACTGGAATTAATTTTGCACAAACTAAGGTTGATCCTGCCTGAAAAATGATTTGAGGCAAGGTTTTACAAAACCAAATGCTCTTCCTGATGCCTAACTCAGACACTCACAATGGTCCAAGAGACCATCTCTAGGAAGGTTACTGCTTAAGGCTTGAGACCCCTATTCTTAGCCTATCAATGCTTATATTTTAGAAGAGACCAGTACTTTCAGAAAATGTAAAAATAGGAAAGCAAAGAGATAGAGTAGAATTGAATGTTGACAGATATTAACCATACTGTACACTTTCTTTCTCTTTTAGTCATGTGTTGTCAACATGATTTAGCTGGATGGATTCCAGATAGAAAAATCGAAACACTTTAAACTCTCTCTGACCCTGCAGATGAGAGAAAGGGTCAGCACCTCATTTCGCTCACAATGGAAAAAGGTATTCATATTTGAAAATAAAGACCATGTAATGAGAAAAAAAATAAATGAACAGCGAAACAAAAAAGTTAGTTCTGTCCAAGCCTTCAAGCTGCACAGATGCATTTGCTATAAATGCGATAGACCTGGTTATGTGAAAAAAAAGTCCCTGTCCAAGTCTTTAAGACTGGAAGGATGAGTCCACTATAGATTTGGGTATGTGAAAGGGAGTCTATCTTCGAATGGAATGGACAGATGGATATGAAGGTGAGAAGAAGTTATAAAATTGATCATGTCAAAAAAAGTCCCTCTTTGAACTGAACGGACAATCGACTACAAGTGCAATGAATGCAAAAGAAGTCTTTGGATTCAAGGAAACAAACTTCAGCATATAAAGAATGCTGCCAGATCAAGATGAAAGAAAGAGAAAGAAGACAGTTTCAATTTATTCATCACTCAAGCCCCTAGACTAGACGAAAAGAAAAAGAAAATGAGAAAAGATCTCAAAAAGAGATACTTATATTAAAAGAAAAAGAGAGGAAAGACCTCAAGCTCAAAAAGAGATGCTTATACAAAAAGAAAAAGAAACAAATCAAAAAAAAAGAGAAAGGAAAAAAGAAATAGATATAAGAGACATTAAAGGAATAGGAGAACTTTTATTATGGCCAGATAAGTTTATTGTTTCTCTTAATGTTTTCATTTTGTTTAATGTATTTTTTGTTATGGTGGTACTTTCATGCAAGCCTGGCATAAGATCCTTTTTTTTTATTACATGTTTCTCTCTGCTTGTTTTATCTTTTCATGTTTTTGTAAATTTGTGCAAGTGCAGCACGTTTTGTAACTTTGTGCAAGTGCGGCACAAGACCATATGTTGATTTGTAATTTACCTTTCTGAGAGGATAAGTTCCCCTCCCACTATTTTGTCCATAATGTTTATTTTTGACTTATTGTTTTTTTTTGTTTTGCCTATCTTTTATTTTCTCCCTGTTTGTATGTTTTGATAATAAATTTAATAACTTACCATTGTTTGTTGCCTATCATGTTTGTACCTTAATCATTTCCACTCGGCTGTGTCTGATCAATTGGAAAGAAACCCTTGGGGAAGGAAATATTTTATAAGAATTGTATAAAGGTGAAAAATAATAATACAGGTTGCGATCCTCCTCTATTGATCCAGTTAGATGACGGTAGGGTTGTAACAATATATATATATATATATATATATAATTCCAAGGTTTGAATAATCAGCTCTAAATAGAGTCTGTCCAAAATTAACCTTCTGGCATAAAAGTGCTCTATGCCATAAAAATGACAGAGCATTTGAATATTTATTCAATAACCAGGTAGGCAATGACTGGCCACTACTTTAAGTTACATGTGTTTGCACACAATCTTCAGGTACCAGTAACTTGCAGTAATAGTATATATAATATATATATATAATGGACTTTCCTGTCGGTTTCGACGTATGAGGATCTGACAGCTTGGTTGATTCAGTTATGAAATTTTGTGGGATAATCTTAAGTGGCATTTAAGAACCACTAGTGATTTACAAAGGAGGCCACATATGGAGCAAGGGTGAGGATTGTGAGATGAGATCACTGTTAGATGATTTTGTAAATTTACATTGAGCACTATTTTGTAAAAATAAAATGATCTATAAGAACACCGGTTTATATATCTTACTGTTCTTTCTTTTTATTTATATATACATATATATATCTCAGACAACAAGGATGGACCATGTCATGTTTTACAAACATGCCTGAATGGTTCCGATTACTCCTAAAGTTACTTCTTATAAATGAAAAGAACTGATGTGTATATCTTATATGTTTCATTATGGAAGCGCAAACTTATGGTTAGGAGCTCCAGTTAGGTAACCTTGATAAAATTGAGAAGGATACTAGAATAACCCAGAACTTATACTGGCAGCAAACCACCTGCATACAGGCAGGAAATGAATTCAGTAAATATACAAAATAGAAAGGGGTGCGTTTAAGACATGAATGTTTCTCTTTCACCAGACTTATTTAATCCTTTGTGAGGTTCCATGATTGCTTAAGTGTATATTTCCCAGAAATGTCTGCATATTTTAAAAAATATATTTTTAAACAGAAATAATGAAATTTTGCTTATCTGTTGATGGCAATAGGTTTCATTTTGAGATTATTTCAAATGTCTGCTTCATGCAGCAGTTGAAGTTAAAAGAGAAAGAAAGTTTTGATTTTTGTTTCTTTTTGTGGTAAAATGCTTGTTCTGATGCATCATGGGAATATTCTTTATTTTCTGTAAGCTTTTTTAAACATTTTTCTTTACTGCCACTTTTGTCTTGTATTTTAAAGTATTTTTATTGCTTAACTTTTAATTTTTCTTTTATTATTAATTATTTTGGTTCCAACTACTACATGTTTTGGGGGTTATTTAGTAATTTATTTATTTCTATCACTACAATTTTCCTCACTAGATATGGAATCATTCAGTAGTAAAAATATTCATTATACTTCTTCCATGAAAAGTTTCTACCAGATGAGATTGTATTTGGAGTTTGGCTGTTTATTTTCTCCACTGCATTGGTAGCAGTATGCATTTATTTATCCAATTTATTGATATTTTCTTATTTTGTTTAACTTGTTTAGATCTTTCTGTAAAAGACTTTAACCTATCAACTTTGATCAGATAATAGAAGTTTGTTCAAACACTTCAAAAGGACCTGTATAGTGTGCTTCAAGTGGCTTGTGAATCCTATCTATTTTGGTCCATAATTTTTGCACATTCTTAATTGTTTTGGGATATACATTTTATTATTGCTATGATGATAATTACAGATATTGTTTAAATCTAGCTGTGATATGGTCCTATGTAATTTTTTTAGGAAAATCTGGGTATAGTATCTATATCATTCATACTGTCTACATGCAATTGTGGTATTAATATTTGCATACCAGTAATGGCATAAAAGGCTGAAGTGACTGCCAAGTGAGGCATACTTTGAATACCTAGTAAGACTATTAGTAAGGCTGACAGCCAGGATTTTTTTTTCCATAATTGCAGTTTTAACGGTCTTGTATGACTGTTCATTGCGGTGCTGGTTGATTTTTTTATTTTTATTTTTTTTCAAGCAGTACAGATGTTTATAGTCTTTTCTTTTTTTATTGAATATTTTTTACCAAATATCAGTTTGTCTTTTATTTACAAATTGTATCATCTGTTTGTTTTTTTCACACTGCCAGAGTTATAGTTTAAAATTACATATATACACACACAAGAAAGTGATCCTTAACTGAGGTCTATACAGTGCATGCAGCACTTCAGGCACTGGGGCGAGGGGCAACTGTCACCACATGAAAGTTTGCTGCTGGGGTTGGATTAAAAAAATGCATGAATGTTAAAAT